ATTTAGAGTACAGAAAAAAGTGTCAATAGCAAAGCCTCATGATAAAAAATGATCAAAATTTGATTCATAATTTAATCCTCATTTTAGAACGAAAAATTCTAATTGGAGAAACTAAACTCATTTTGTGCCAGAAGAAAATATGCCCTATATGAATCCCTTTACATGCACGTGTATACCTCCAAGCCAAGCCCTGAAGGTTCAGGAACAATAGGCTGAGAGCTGGTGGTTCAGTGTGAGCAGAGTACCCACCCAGCACCTCACCCCCTTCCTTGGGTTCCTTGCACAGACACGCAGATCCATGGATTTCAGTTGGATGGGAGTTGTGCCTATTTCCAAAAGCTGCTTACCGGCAACCTCCCAAGTCCATTTTTAAAGGTCACCAAAGTTTGTTTTAAGCAGCTAGAGTTACCAAGAACTCTGATTCAGCTCTTCTCTAAGTGGAGCTGCCAACCCACGCCTCCCCAGGTCCTGTCTCCCATACCCCGCCCCTCCCCCCGCCCCCACTTTTCCCAAGCGGTACCTCCCTGGGCGGTGCCTCCTAAGCCGTGCATCCCCCGGGCCACGCCTCTCAAGCCACGCCTCCCCAGGCCCCTTTTCCCAAGCCCTGAACCCTGGGCCACGCCTCCTAAGCTGTGTCTCTCAGGCCACTCCTCCCCCCCCCCCCCCCCAACCAAGCCCCAGCTCTCTGGGCCACACCTCCTGGGCTACACCTCCCAAGCAGCGCCTACCGCCTCCAGGGCCCAGCCTCGGAGCATCTCTTGGTTGGAGCAACTGATAAAGAGTTGCCGCTGTTTTCTGCTTTGTGGTCCCATATGAACCGCCCGGGCCACTGTTGCTAATGCAGATGGGCCGGTAACAACCATCGACCAGTTGAAAGATTTGCTTCTCATTGAGTGACACATCATTGATGTCACAGAGTTCTTATACCTTGAAAGGCAAGCAGGAGAGGGTAGGTAGGCTTGGAATCTTCACTGTGTCTTAGTGGGCTGTGACCAAAACAGGTTGCTTCAAGTATAAGACGTCATTTTCTCAGTAGGTTGTGGTGACCCAGGTGCGTGCAGTTGTCAGAACTCATCAACTGTACACCTACAAGCTATACCTCTTATTGAATGTAAATTATATCTAAATTAAAAAGGAAACTAATAAAAACTAGGATAGGAGGCCAGAGAAGAAGACCAGGGACTCCTGAGAGTCATTAGTCCTCATGGGAGGAGAGGTGAGAACAGGGAGGAAGTCCAGCCAAGAATGCATCATCTCAATGTGATAACAAGGAAACATCAAACAAACCCCAATGAGAAAGGTTTTATTCATAAGAAGGGAGGCAGCATACTCATAAAAAATGTTGGTGTCATTAAAAACAAACAAAAAAGCTGTAGAAATGCTCTAGATTAAAGGAAGCTAGGGGAACCTGGCTGGCTCAGTCGGTGGAATGTGTGACTCTCGATCTTGGGGTCGTGAGTTCTAGCCCCACATCGGGTATAGAGCTTACTAAAAACAAAAATAAATGAAGCTGAAGAATTGTGACAACTAAATGCAGTAACTGGCTAGTCTAGATCCTGCACTACTGAGGGGAGGAATGTCATACAGGTCAGTATGAGATCATACAGGTCAGTATGAGTTCAAGTGGGTGGTTCAGTCGGTTAGGCGTCTGTCTTTGGCTCAGGTCATGATCCCCGGGTGCTGGGATCGAGCCCCACATCGGGCTCCCTGCTCCACGGGAAGCCTGCTTCTCCCTCTCCCACTCCCCCTGCTTGTGTTCCCTCTCTCACTGTGTCTCTCTCTGTCAAATAAATAAATAAAATCTTAAAAAAAAAACTATCCTAAGACCTAAGATGTATTAATTCATTAGCGATTATAATCACATTGTTATAAAAAAATTTCAATAATTTGAGTATAGACAGTACATTGGATAAAGTTATTGTTAATGTAGATTATGAAACTGATAACTACCCTGACAGGTAAGGCAGTATCCCTATTCTTAGGCAGCACTTACTGAAGCATTTAGGAGTAAAGGACCATTTGGTATCTAACCCTAAAATGGTTCAGAGAATAGTAATATGTATGTACATGTGAAAAAAATATGCATGTGTGTACAGAAGAATTTCCTTATTGCTTACCTTGGGAAAAAAGGTAAAAAAACAAACAAAAAAAACCCCCACAAGTTTGGGTCTTGTTGACACAGCCGGTTCAAAGTTTGTCAGATATTTTTCCAACATTGGCACCTCCAAACAAGGAAGATTTTTATCAGATACTTTCCTATCAGTAACTCCTGAGAGCTACATCATACCCATAGCTGATTCATGAAACCCTTGATTCCAGGTCAGGTCACTGTTACCTGGAGATGAACATAGCCCAGGCAAAGTTTATGCATTCGGACAGGGGCATCTGTTCAGTGAGAAGGGAGAGAGAGAGAGTGCACACAAACCCTAAAGCAAATGAGGTAAAATGTTATCAATAGGTGAATCTGGGGAAAGGATATATAAGGGTGTTGTTTGTATAATTTTTCTTTCGCCCTTTTTTTACAAATCGGAAATTATTTCCAAATAAGTGTGTGTGTGCATGCTTTAACACTGGGGATGAGGGAGCTAGAAGGAGTTCCAGGGGCTTTGTGTCCAGAAGGAACTGGCTGGCAGTTAGATTCATGTCAGTATTCCGGAGGATGCCAGTCCCCATTACAATTATATTGCTCTAACAGCCATAAATGGATAATTCTCAAGCAATAAAAACTAGATTGCTTATGTAACAAACCTGATAGAATATGAGAGAAGTTCCCTATTGCTTATCCTGGGAAGAAAAGGGAAAAAAAAAAAAAAGTACAGGTTTTTTTGTTGACAAGGCATCTTGAAGGTTGGGCAAGTATTTTTTTCAACATCTATACCTCTACACAAGTAGAATATTATCAGGACACTCTCCTTCAATCAGTAACTTCTGAGAGCTACATCATACCAGTAGTTGATTCATGAAAACCTTGACTCCTGGGTCAGGTCACTGTTATTTGGACATGAGCATGACCCAGGTAAAGTTTAGATGCTGACACAATTGTATCTATTCTGTCTCATCCCAGAATTTCCTAGGATGACCCTGGCAGCATCATAGTGGATTTGAGAAAGGAAAGGGTGTGCAGTGCTATCTCAGTGGGCTTTCAAAGACCACAGGGTCTGATCTTGCTCCGAGCTCAGAGGGCCCTTTGCCCGCAGAAGTGGCCACTGCCCTTACTCCCTTCCTGGGGGGGATCTGCTGTGGAAGTGAATGGGACTCAGCCTCCTGCCCACGCTGTAGTCGGCTGAATGCACATGGCCGTGATTAGTCTCTTCCCCCTACACAAAAAGAAAATACAGGATTCATTTGTTCGAGCACACTTCCCCAAGCTCCCCTTCTATCTCACCTCCTTCTGGGATATGCGAAAGGACGGGTTGCACTTGACTCTCAAATCTTCAGTTTGGGCTATGGAATCATGAAGCTGAATCTTTGCTCCTAACCTTTCATCTGATAAGGATGGGACTATTCGGGGAACTTGGAAATTCAGCTGTTCGGTAATGAAAGTTATTGCCTCTTTGTCAGCAAAGTGCAAAACCAAAGTGAGATGCCACATACAGGGAACTAAACCCAGGTGGTAAAATAGGTGTGTGTCACAGGCAAGCTTCGTTCTATTTCTTTCCTAGTCATAGCACGTTAGTTCTTCCAGAAACGGCATGTTGAGAATAAGAGCCCACTATATCTGCAGTGGGGCTGGGAGGCCTCTCTGGTCATGAGTCAAAGCTGAGCTAAAGGGTCCGTAGCAGGGGAGATGAACGTCAGAGAAGGAGACAGAGGAGCCTGGAGGAAGGATTAAAAGGAAGAGACAGAGTCATTGCTTGCTGGCCAAGGCTGGAGGCACAGAACATATGGCCCTCCAGCCCATGTATCCTCCTGATTCATGCTGGTCACCTCAGTCTCAGCAATAACCTGTGGATGACTTATTCTCCCCCTCCAGCATTCCCAGTACCGTGCTGAGCGATTTATAGGTATTACTTTATGTATACTCACCTGTTCTCTTCTTTTTCCTTTAAAATGTTTTCAGCTTTATTGAGATATGATTGACATATAACACTGTGTAAGTTTAAGGTATACAACTTGATTATTTAATATGCATGTGTATCGTGAAGCGGTTACCGAGGTAAGGTTAGTTAACACATTCGTCATAGCCTATAGTTACTGTGTGTGTGTGGAAAACTTTTAAGATCTACTTTCTTTTTTTTTTTTAAGATTTTGTTTATTTGACAGATAGAGACATAACAAGAGAGGGAACACAAGCAGGGGGAGTGGGAGAAATAGGCCTCCCGCTGAGCAGGGAGCCTGATGCGGGGCTCGATCCCAGGACCCTGGGACCATGACCTGAGCCAGAGGCAGATGCTTAACCAACTGCGCCACCCAGGCACTCCTAAGATCTACTTTCTTAGCAACTTTGTATACAGTAAATAGTTGGCCTGTTCTCTTTTTAAAGTTAAGGGACCAAAGGCCGAAAAAGGTGGCCTACCAAGGTCGAAGAGTTTTTAAGTGGTGGATTCTAGAGATTTGGAACCAGAACAGTCCAGGTCCAAACTTCATATGCTTTTTTACCACACTGTGCGCACTCCACACACACACAGAGCACCTTGATTTTGCAACCTCTGCTTCAGGAAAGAGCTGGGTACAGCTTGTTCATCTTTGATCTTGGACATCTGCAGTCAGTGCTGCTCACAAAGACATAGTGATGGTTGACCAGAAACCATTCAGGCACCTGGTGCTTTCTCCCCCGGCAGACCTTGTCTCCACTCTGGCTGCACAGCTGGCTGCATGTGTTGGCCTTCCTCTTGGGACTTGAGAATCTTGGTTTGAGCTGCTAAGGTCGGCAGTTCTGGTAAAAACCAGCAGGCCGTGTGAGTGGAAACTGTCAATGGGCCGGGCTGGCTCCAGTGCTGGAGATTGGCCTGTCTCTTGCCCCCTGTGTCACTTGCCATTTCTCCTCCCTGTCTTTGCAGGCAACCTTGGTTTGAAACCCAGGACAGTGGCTCTTGGGGTGCAGCCAGTCTACCAGGGACCTGTGCATTGCATCGCCACCATCGTGCGGACTGAGGGCCTGGCAGGGATGTACCGGGGCGTTGGCGCCATGCTGCTGAGGGATGTCCCGGGCTACTGTCTCTACTTCATCCCCTATGTGTTCCTGAACGACTGGATCACACCCGAGGCCTGCACAGGCCCCAGCCCCTGTGCCGTGTGGCTGGCCGGTGGCCTGGCAGGTAAGGACAGCCATACCGACCCCTGTCCCTGGGCTGATGCCTGTAGTGGGATGGCTGGGGAGCCTATCATATGCTTCTCAGCCCAGGGAAGGGCACGATTCATTCAGCCCATCATGCAGCAGTTCTCTGTTCAGCACCCACTCTGTGCCAGACCTGGCCAGACAGAGGAAAGCCTGGGTATGGGGAATGGTCTCCCTCTTTTTTGCTTCTCCTTCCCTCTGGACCTGTGGGAATGGCAAGTCCCTATTCAGGGTTGTTGAATTTTTAGTCAGAAGATGTATTCTGACCATTTCTTTTGTGTCAGGTATTACTGAGCTTTGAAGAGGAAATCTGTTATTGGGGTTCACCTTTTGTTGAATGCTGACACAGTAAACCTTTCTAATGTGAGGATTTCATTAACTCTGTAAGGGAGGAATCAGTCTCCCCATTTTTCAGATGAGAAAACCGAGGTTTAGAGAGATTAAGTGACCAACCCAAGGGCACACAGCTAATGAAGACGGTATGGCAGGGACTCTGCAGTCGGCAAGATCCCAGTTCAAATCCTCACCTACTCATTTGGTGACCATGGACTGGTTACCTACCCTCCCTACTCAGAAACCACACAGCATCCCTGCTTCATTTAGGGTAAAAATCAGTGTTCTTACAGTGGATTTCAGTCCCTTTATGATCCAGCTGCCTCTTACCCTTCTGCACTCCTTTCCTGCTCCCCTCCCTTTGCTTGCTCTGCTCCAGCCACACAGGTCTCCTTGCTGCACCCTGATCAGCGTGGCTGCTCCCCACCACAGGGCCTTTGCACTTGCTATGCCTGCTGCCTGGATTTAGCAATATGTAGGTCACCAGGGACTGTGACAAGACGCATTTTGGCGAAGAGAAGTGTGTGAACACCCAACTGAAGTGGGATCAGGAGAGAATGGGATGAAAGAAACTGGACAGTGCAAGGACACATGGCACGTCTGAGGGGTTTGGCTGGGCTGTGATGGGGAAGAGAGGTATGCAGCTATGGCCGGAGCAGGGTAGGGAATTCAAGAGAGCGTTGCTTTTTAAGAAGGCTGATAACATGGCATGTGTGAAGTTGATGGGAAAGATCTTCTGAAGAGAAGAAAATGATCAGACCTTAGCACTTCCTCCCCCCGCCCCCATCATCATTAGCTAGGCTTGAAACTCCGCAAGCATATAACGAAGCCCTTGTCTTAGCCGCCAAAAACCAATGTCCACCCTCTGCCCCCATGCGTCTGAGGCCTGGCCTGTGCCAGATCCTAGTAAGTGATTAGTAAGCACTTGCTGGCCAAGAGGACACATGAGGCCTCATCCGTTCTCGATTCTGGTGAGAGCAGGTTTGAGTGGCCTGGTAGGCAGACCACACTTTATAAAACCCTGGCCCGTGGGCTGAGGAGCAGGGGAGTATGCCAGGGCAGCACCTGGACAGTCTCCAGGAGAAGCGGCCCCATTATTCTGGCAGGGGGCAAGAGGGAAGGGAGGTGCAGAGGGTTCCCAGAGGATCATGGGCAGGAGGCCACGGGGGCTGGAGGCTGGGATGGGCAGAGGGTCCAGGACAGACTAAGGCCTCATTTGGGAGTCTCTGGGTAGCAATCAGTAAACCTTGCAAACCAGCTGCCTTGGACTTTGGTCTCTCAGTTTGTTTTTCTCTCCCTGTCTAAGGATGTGCCAATTTTAGTGTTTCTACAGTAATCTGGCATTGTTTTCCGAGAGTCCTTTAAAGTCATCAAAGTGCTCAAACTAGGGCACCTGAACTTCTCCAGTGAAGATGACCTAGTGTTACATCGTCCCAAGGCTTCAATTTCAGATGTCCGGAAAAGGGGCAAGATTTGTAAAGACCTTCCTGCTCTTTTCAGGCCTTACTTGGCCCTCCGTTGGCGAGCAGCCTGTCTGCGAGTGTTCGCTTAGCTTCTCTGTATTCAGAGTCCCTTCTGTCTCTGGGGAGCTGCAAGCCTTCTGCCCCAGCCTTCACTCTGGGCTCTCACCCCTGGTGCCCCGGAAAGGCACTGCAAAGTATTGGTGGGGCCTGTTCCTGTGTCTCCAGTAAAAGCTGCTAATAAAGGTGTCCACTGACAAAGCGCTGGCTGTGGGCCTGGCACTGTGCTAAATGCTTCACGTGCATCTGTTTATTTGGCCTAACAGGAACCCCGTGAAGGTAGGTACTGTTGCCCCATTTTACAGATGGCAGACCCAAGGCCTAGAGGAGACTTCTACAAAGTTCCACAGTGAGTGGTGAGGGAAGTTCAGGGATGGTCTTCACAGGTCCTGCCTGAGCTCTGCCTGCTTCCCCTAGCAGCTTGTTAAGCCTGTCAGTGGTAGAAAGGGGCAGGGAGCCATGTCCCCTCCAGACCCCAACCAGCCAGTCCCTGACACCTGTTTGTCTTTCTCTTTACAGGAGCAATTTCTTGGGGGACAGCGACTCCTATGGATGTCGTGAAAAGTCGACTCCAAGCTGACGGGGTTTATTTCAACAAATACAAAGGCATCCTGGATTGTATCTCCCAGAGTTACCGGAAGGAAGGTCTTAAAGTAAGCCCCACAGCAGTGATGTGGGGTCGGTGTCAGTCCCTGGAAGGTGGGCCAGACATTTGGGGGCATATGAGATTACAGAGGGGAATCAGGAAACTGAAGTGCTGGTGGTTACCATATCAAGCCCTTCGATCCTTGTCTCATCTAGTCCATGCCCCAGGCTGATGGAGGAGACAGGCTCAGAGAGGACTGGTAACCTACCTGAGGTCACACAGCTGGTGCATGGCCTCGCCCTCTTCCAAGTAGGAGGTCCCAGAGCCACGTCAGTCATCACATCTCACAACATCCAGTCCCCCGGTCTGTCTTCTGCTCCCTCACCCCACTCGAGTCCACACCCCGTCACCTCTGGTCTCGGCTATGAGGCAGCCTGCAACCTGGCCTTGTCTACCTTCTCTTTCCTCCTCCCTGCACCCAAAGGGTTCATCTAAATCCAAGCCCCTTCCTGTCTCTGAACTGTCCTAGGATGATGACCAGAATCCCAAGTTTGGCATCCAAGGCTATAAACAAAATCATCCCTGTCTATGTTGCCTCCCGTGACACCCTCTAGTACCCTTCAGAGAAACCATCATGCATTTTCTGCCTCCTGTGGGCCCCCAGCTTTCGTGGCTTGCCCCTTCAAATCAGCAGACTTGAGTTAAAGCCAGCCTGGCTACTCATGAGCGGGGTGGGGGAAATCCAGGCAAGTTGTTTCCCCTCTGGGCCTCAATTTCTCCAAGGATAATCATCCTCACCATGAAAAACAGGGTATTTGTTAGTGGGATTAAATTAGGCATATAAAAAGTGCTTAGCTTCATGCATAACACACAGAGTATATTTACAAAGAGTTGGCTGCTTGTCATTGGCTTTAGTATTAGTATTAGTAGTTTTACTAGTGTTAATGTTACTACTAAACACTGGACCTTTCCTCACATGGCTGCCTCATCCCCTGCCCTCCCTGCTCCAGTGCATCCAAACACACACAGACACTCTCTCTCTCTCTCTCTCTCTCTCTCTCTCTCTCTCTCTCTCTCTCACACACACACACACACACACACACACACACACACACACATACATATATATATATATATATATGTATATGCTGGCCAAGTCCTTGTCCTCCAAATGCTCCCAGACTGCAGCTGAGAGGGGCTGGAGCCAGTTCATAGGCTCTCTGCCTAGTACCTGATACACAGGTGGGCAGGACTCTTGGGTCCCTTAGCATGTGGTGCTGGATCCCACAACTCCCACAGAGGCACCTGCATGGGTGTATGGATGCCCAACTTTTGTTGTTGAGGTGGGGACAAGATAGGGACATTTTGTACTTCCACGATGCTGATGTCACTCTCTTCATATATTAACCTTTATTGAGATCTTTATTTCTTCATACAGATTCAAGTTACTCCTAGTGCTGGTTCATTTCACCCTCCAGAACTCCTTTGAACATTTCTTGCAGGGTAGATCAAGTGGCAGTGAACTCCCTCAGCTTTTGTTTATCTGGGAATGTCTTCATTTCTCTCTCAGTCTTGAAGGATAGTTTTCCTGGATACGGGATTCTTGACTGACAATTTTTTCTTTTGACACTTTGAGTATGTTGGCCTATTGACTTCTGGGCTCTAAAGTGTCTGATAAGTAATATGCTGTTAGACTTACTGAGGATCCTTTGTATGTAATGTGTTCCTTCTATCTTGCTGCTTTCAAAAGTTTGATTAATAACGTGTCTTGGTGTGGGTCTTTTTGAGTTTATTTTACTTGGAGTCATTAAGCTTCTTTGATGTTTATAGTCATGTCTTTCACCAAATTTAGGAAGTTTTTGACAGTTATTACTCCAAATATTCTCTGCCTCATCTCTCTTCTCCTTTTGGGACTCCCACAATGCATATATTCGTTTGCTTGACAGTTTCCCACAGATCCCTTAGGTTCTTTTCACTGTTCTTCAACCTTGTTTCTTTTTCTCAACTGCAATAATTTCCGTTGTCTTATTAAGTTTGCTCTCTTTTTTTTTCTGCCTGTTCAAATACACCTTTGAATCCTTGTAGTGAATATTTCACTCAAGTTATTGTACTTTTCAGCGGCAGAATTTTTGTTTGGTTTCTTTCTGGATTTTCTATTTCATATTGATGTTTTCATTTTGTTCATGTATCATTTTCTTGACTTTCTCCATATCTTCCTTTAGTTCTTCAAGCATCTTTAAGACAGTTCTAGTGTCTTTGTTAGGTAGATCTGCTAACGTCTTTTTCAGGGACAGTTTCTCTTCACTTATTTTTTCTTTGAATGGATCATACTTTCTTGTTTCTTTTTATGCCTTGTTATTTTTTATTGAAAATTAGACTTTTGAATTGAATTATGTGGTAACTCTGGAAATCAGATTTCTCCCCTCCTTCCCCAGTGTCTAGTGTCTTTTGTTACTGTTTATTGCTTCACTTTTTTGATTGTTGTAGGCTGTCTCTATGCCAAAGATCAACCTGAAGTGTAAACTTAAGGTCTTCTCAGGTCTTTTCTGAGCCTTTCTCTGCGCATGCACGGTTACTTTCCGACTTTCCCCATACCCGCAGTTGCTTTTGAATGTCCTAGTCTTTAGCATCTAGCTCCCAAGACGAGAAAAATTAAAGGGGAAAGGGGCATTGGCCAGAGGAGGAAGGACTTGCATCAGTGGGGTAGACGAAGAAGCAGTGGCTAACTTCCTCTTTGCACCTCTGTGATCAGAAACAGCAATCAGTGATCAAAACACAGATCTCCAATATTTGCAAGACAGGGTCCTTATTGCCCGCTCTGGCTTCCACAAGCTGTGTGTGCAGGTTGCTCCCAGAGTGTCTGTGCACCCACCTGCCTGCCACAGGTCTGGGGGTGGAGGATGGGTAGCTGCTACCTTGCTAAGAGCTAAAATGGATTGAAATTAACCAGATTTACTGTCCAAACCTTCTCCTTGAAGTTGTAAGCATTCAATAAACCCCAGAATTCCAAAATAGTTACATGAGACAGATTCCGTCAGCACAGCTCTGATCTAGGTAAGGAAACAGATTGCTGGCACTTCCTATTCTGCCACATTTCTAGAATCCTCACCTCATTGGTCTTTTTTATTGTTTTAGCAGAAGCACTGTTTGTGATTCAACCAACAAGCACAGAGGGACACATAAGAAAGATTTCAAAAAAGAAGCTGTTTTATTTGAGATATTCTTGTCTGCTGTTGATTAAAATACTAATGTGTCAAGTTATTCAAATTAATGTCAAAATATTGTGTCCTAATTCTATAAAGTCTATAGAGGCTAAATATATTGCTGATATTATTTCCTCCAAAAATTACTGTGCTCTGTTAAAAACAAAGTCCTGGAAGGCAACTGAGGTCAGAGGATTGATTTCTTAATCTCAGTAGCATTGGTCCCTAGTTTATATTCAGAGACAGGTTTTAAATAGCGGTAGCAGTATTCAGCTTGGATTAACCACTCACTGACTGAAAGTCATTTTTAATTTTTTTATTAGTTGTTTTTAAAAATAGATAATACATGAACATAGGAAGTTTCGAAAGAGATAAGAGGATGTACTGTCTAATGGTCCCTCCTTGGTCTTCAATCTTCTCTCAAAGGCAGTCACTGTTATGAGTTTCTTATAACATATTCCAAAAATATTCACGGACTGTGCTGTATGTTTGTTTATGTGTTTGCATGTAAACATAAACGGTAGCATGAAGAAAACATCCCACATAGCCCTGGACAGCTGGCTTGTCTCACAGCCCTTCCCAGCAGCAGGAGGAATGGCTTTTCTGGGGGCCCAGTGGATGGCTCCAGTTACAGCTGACTGTGGGGCTGGCTCTGTGGAGCATCATTCCTGAACAGTTTGTACTGTGGCTCACTGAGGCAGGGTAAGCCCACCTGCCCCCGCTTCACTATGGAAGGAGAACTCAGTGGGAATGAAGACTTGGGAAAGAGTAGAATAATGGTGATGGTACCCAAGTTTGGCAGTTCCTTGTAACCCACTTAATGATTACTGGGAAAGCAGCCTTTTTGATAAAGGGAATTAGAAGTCTAGGACTTCGGGGGCATCCCCGAATCCAAAAAAAAGTCCATTCTCTCCCTGCTGTGAGTCCATTCTCTGCCTGCTGTGACATTCGTCATGGGCCACTTGGGCCATTGCGCACACTGGGAGGGTTACTGTCTGCGATGAGAAGGCCAGAGGAGGGACTTGGTATCCTTCCGCTGCACAGTGGTGGCTGTTGGGAGGGGGTTTGTGACAGTGGCTTGAGATTGAATGACTGTAAGGAGAGGTGGAGAGGAACATTTGTAGGAAGAGCCGTTTCCTGAGGTAGCAGAGTTGGTTGCCCTTTGGTTCTGCCATCTGGGGACTGGAGCCGTCACTCCACTCCCGGAATCCCCCACTACCACTAACACCAGCAGGACTCTTTCAGCTCAGAGACTGTTCCCTTTTCACAACAAGGAGTTTGTTCATTCCACCCATCCATTCATCCATCCACTGATTCATTTAGTAAGACTTACAGAGGGCCCTCTGGGCCAAGAAAAGCATTAGATGCTGGGGGTTCTGAGGTGTAAATGTTGGGGATTCAGAGGTATAGATGCTAGGGGTTCCAAGGTAAACCACCACAGCCCCGCTCTCACTGCCCTGAGATTATTAATGGGCGTACAGACAAATGATGGGTGGGTAGAGACAGTGTGAGAAGTGCTGTGATGGCAGAGATCCTGAGTGCACAGAAGACAGTGAGCCACAGTCCAGCTTGGGGTGGCCCTGGGAAGACTGCTAGAGGGTGCAGCCAGGCCGGGGAACATTCCAGCTGATGGAATAGAAGAGACCCAGTGGTGGAAGAGAGCTGGCTCCCTGGAGGAGCAACAGGTTGTTAACGTGCCCAGAATGTCGGGTGTAAGAGGCTGCCCAGAGAAAGTGCAGGGCCCGAGCATAAGGGTCTTGGCAGTCCAGGGAAGGGTGTAGACTTCCCTGGGCAGTGGGGAGCCATCGAGGCTTCATGAGGAGAGACTAGGTCTGGTGGTTTTGTGTTCCGAAAGCTCAGGGTAAGAGCCAGCCGGTCTGCACTTTGCCATCTTTGGACCTCATAGCAGAGCAGGCCAGGGCTGCTGGAGGGAGGTCATGTCTGTATGTCTGGAGTGTTCCATGGTTCCCGCAGGGCCCAGCGCTGTGGGAGAGGTGGCCCACACTCCAAGCTGGCTCCTGCCTGGCATGGCCTCATAGAGCAGAGCCAAGCCCAGGCCCACAGGGGAGTGTTTATGGGCACCCAGTGTGGAATTTTCCTTTTGGAGCTTGGGCCAGTTCCTTGCTGTTATTCAGTCACTCTGGGTGAGCCTGGGGAATTCCAGAAAGGTTAGACATTAGATGTTACAAATGTCCTGCTTGCCCCTTGCCCGAATCATTCCAGGGTTTGGCTGAACCTCTTGCTCCCGTCTGGGGTCCTTGTCCATCAGCTCCCTTCCCTGTGAGGGTTAAGGCTTCCCCCAAACCCACAGAGGCCATTCTCCCCCCACCACAACCAGCCTATGTCTTGCAGGCTGCCATGGAGTGCTAAGGCGCAGGTGCCTCTCCTGAATACCCCCTTACATCCTGGCCGACAACAGTGGCCTGTCTCTACCCTGACACCACAGTGCCTCACAACCAAGGAAACTGGGGAAATGTAAAATGGTTGGATTTCTACTTCCTCAAAATTACAGTACCAGTTCTATTTATTACACTTAGTAAATATACAGGAGTCAGCTAACAGGTGTACGTCATATTCCTGGCAGTTGTTGGGTCGTTTATGCTTGGGTATGGTTTCCTTTAGATGTGTTGTCTCTTCCCAGGGAAGACATGTAAGGACAGGTGCCCCCTCCCCCAAAGCCCTGATCTGTTCTCATCACATTCTAGATTGTATTGTAATTATTCCCACATGGGGCTTACCTCCACCGAGTAGGTTTTAAACTGGGCAAGGGCTGGGACCACATTACATTGACCAGTTTCTACCCAGCACTAGGCAGGACGACTCAGGGAGGAAGTGAAGCATCTTATCATATGCCCTAGCGATGGGAGGGATGGAAGACAAATACAGGGTTCTCGTATGAATGGCTGAGTTAAGCAGCTCGTCGATACAGGCCAGTCCCCTCGGCACTCATACTAATGACCGAAGGTTGAGTGCCACTCGGTGTAAGGATGGCTCCTGCTCACAGTGAGGGTGATGGGACCGTCAGCAGTTCATGAACGCTGGCTGCATGGCAGGCCTGGTGTAAGAGCTTTGAAAGCATCATCTCATTTCCTTCAGCAGCCATATCAGCTCAATAGTATTGTTACCCCATTTTGCAGTTGGGAAGTTGAGTTTCAGAGACTTTGCCACTTGCCCAAGTAACACAGCTATCAAATGCCAAAGCTGTGTCTCCACTTCATGCCTAAAAGCATGGCCTGAGTTCTTCCCTGCTCTGCCCCTTGGGGGACAGCCTATGAAGCACCTGTCAAAATGGTTGGTCATGGCTGCTCTGTCCACCAATGCAAAGTGAGTGCAGTGGAGAGCTCGGACGTCCAGGTTCCAGAGCATCTTGTGCGTGCATGCGTGTGTGCATGCGTGCGTGTGCATGTGTATACACATGCGTGTGGGTATATACATGAGAAAGAGCAGCCATTAAGCAAGTGTATGTGGGTGTTCATGGTCAACAGTTTGCCCCCAGTATTTAGTGTACGTGCACCAGGCCTGGGAGGAAAAGCCCAGTCCCAGGGGATGTGGGTCAAGGCAGGGGCATGACTGGGGCATCCGGGGTGGTTCAGGCTCGCAAGGGTCCTTTGGGCTCTGTGGAGTCCAGCCTGGGACAAGTGGCCAACATCCCCAATCTGTCCTCTGCGCCCCAGTGGTGGCCCTGCAGAGGGTCTGGGTCAGTCCTCTGATAACGCTGCCTCCTGCCACAGGTGTTCTTCCGAGGCATCACGGTGAACACTGTGCGCGGCTTCCCCATGAGTGCCGCCATGTTCCTTGGGTATGAGCTCTCGCTGCAGGTGCTCCGCGGGGACCACACCGTGACCAGCCCCTGAGCGTCAGGTCAGTATGCTTCCTTCCCAGCCCGCTGCACCTCCCTGGGGCTTGACACCCTCTTCTTTGCCATGGACACGTTGTGACTTTTCTGAAACGTCCCCGTCATTCATTTCCTATCTAATCTGTGTCACTTCTGGGGCTACGGTGGCCACCCTTCTTGTCATCAGAAGGCCCTTCTGAAATGCCCCCCTGTGACTGGTGGTGAGCCGGGTACTCAGTAACTGAGATCGGCACAGAATTATGCCTGTAGATAGTGAGCTCAGCCATCTGTTTTCCCATCCAGCAGCTTCAACAGCCCTTGGAGAGAGGTGTATTTCACTTTACTCTACAAATTCAGTGACTGGGGCCTAGAAATGAGGACTTAAAGCACACTGCCCTCCCTCTGTTAATGGGGCACCATCTCCCCACCTCCCTAGTGGACTCAGAGCATGAGTCTGAGGGCCATCAGTGGGCTCTCAAAGCCCTGAAGGGACAGCCTTTGCCCTCGTTCCCTGCCTCCCATACCTTTTCTCTCTCCCTCTCTCATTGCAAAAGATCACTGTGGCCCCAGCGTTCTAAGAAAAGCAACCTGAGCAAGTGACTCCCTTAGTCAAATGCCCTCAGTGACTCCCCATTGCCCTTTAGGTAAAGCTTTAGTCATCAACCCCAACATCACCAGCAGCCTGAAAATAACATTCTCTCTCTTGCCTCTGGATCTTTGCACATGCTGTCCCTGCCTGACACCATTTTTTAACCGCCCCTCCCGCCCCCCGTCCTTGGCTTCACCAACTCCTCTTTGTCATCCAGGCTTTAGTCTAGAAGTCTCTTCCTCCAGGAAGCCTGCCCTTATGCCTCAGCCAAGATGAGCTGTGCCTGCTGTAGGCTCTCCCCCACAGCCCCTGCTCAGCCCCTACCACATCCCCTTTGCATCATAACTGTTTGCTGACTTTCCTCACTCCCCAGCCAGCGTGAAAGTCCCGGGAGAGCTACGACTGTTTCTTCACTTCTCTATCACTGGTGCCTCACACGGAGCCTCACACCGAGATGGCCCCTCAGAAACATTGTTGAGAAGACGGACGATCAGCTTCCAGTATCTTCTCAGCTCCTTCTCTTCCTTTGCCCCCACTGTTTCTCCTTCTCTGGCTCCGCACTGGTAACCTGCAGAGCTGAGACGATCAAGGGGGATGAATCACTGAATGTTCTAGTCCACAAGAAACCACTTTGCTTCAGCCTTGGTGACCGCAGATTCTCTCAAGAAGGATGGTCTTCGTCAGAAAGGTCTAGCAAACCTGCCCTGCTGCCTCCCCTGGGGCAGCAGGGGCCTGCTGGCATGTGCAGATGGGGCCAGACCCTAGACCCCGGGAAGGGCATGATGGATCAGGCCGACAAGACTGAGCCCAGGGCAAGCCCTGGAACGCCGGCTTTTACCTCAAATGCTGTAGCTCTTCACTAAAGCACCCACCTTCACGTCTCGCCTGGCTCTTGGCCCTCTCTTACAAAAGGAAAACAGGAGTAACACATTTTGCGTACTTAAACTTTATCCTGAGTGAGGCACGACTGTCCTTGGGTTTTGTCCGGGGCGAGGCAGAGGAATGGTCTGGTTCTCAGATACCGGTCCCTCCCCCCTGTGACCAGATGAAAGTGGCTTTCCAGAAAATCCTGTAATAAAATCAGTGCCTCTTTATTGTGGGGAAAAAAACCGAACATACAGATAAACAGAACAAAATAAAATACCTGTTTTTATGCAGTATCTTATTACTCATTCTTCCCATTTAAGGGTTCAGGACCATCTGTCTATGTGATTAAATACTCAGCAGCAAGGTGGCTGGAGGGCCAAGCAAGACCTGGTGGCACCCGGAGCGGCTGGATGCTTGCCTGAGCTGTCGCACCAGCCGCTTGTCACCAGCCTGCTGATTGGCTACTTCAGGGGGAAGGAAGAAGTTTCTAGCAAGCCAAATTCTGATGGTCCTGGATTGGGCCCTTCAGAGCAGTGAGCACCCCAGTCGGAAGCTCCTCTTTCTGAAAGTCCTCTCATGGGCCACGAGGCACGGATGGGTGCTGGCCTTGGCTCTGCAGGCGTGGACCTGGAGGCTGTGGCTCTCTGGTGGAAGAGGAGGGTCCCCAGTGACTTTTCTGGAGCCTCATCATGCACAAGTCTCATGCAAGGAGTTACAACTTCCGAGGCCCTTTATCAAGTCCTGGATTTGGATTTACCGAGTAGCTCTGAGTTCGTGGGCAGGTCACGCTCTAGGCAGCAAGAGCACCCGGTCTCTGAAGACGTGGACACCTGTGCCTCACTTAGGAGTCCGGACTGGGCACGGGGTGAGACATGACGTATGTCAGAGAGCCACAGAGCCCCGCGGTCCCTGCGAGGGGGTGGGAGGGTGACTCTCTCGCGTCCCTGGGCGTAGGTGGTGGGAAGGCACGGGATTGTTCCCGGTGTCTGCAGGGAGCAGAGTCCAACCCCTGGCTCCTCCAGCCTCCTTCCAGCAAGCAGGGGCAGAGTCCTCCCTCACCCCCACCAGCTCCCGTGGAGGAAGAATACTGACTTTTCATTCATCCCGTCAGTTATTTCTCCCCCAGGATCACACATATGGGTGACCCAGGGGCTGTGAGAAACCCAGTGAATGCCACATGAGGCGGTAGTTTGGGATGTGGTTAGTTTCAACTGTTCACAGGGAGGTACCAGACAGCACGAGAAAGATGACCCTTGTTGGTAGAAGTGGGGTCCCGGTCTTGTCAGGTGTCAGCCGTTGGGCTTGTTGGAAGCCCCTGATTCCAGCTGGGCCATCTCTACCCACCGACCAGGATCCGCTGTCCCAGAAGCTTCCCGGAGTAATGCTGGCCTGCCTCCTGCTGTTGTGACCTTCTTGCTCCAGACCTCACTGATCCACTTTCAATTCCTGAGAAATCCAATTTCAAGGAAAGCAGATGCATTCTTCCTGGAACACCTTCTTTTGAACGCTTCGGAATAAGCCCAGACAACCTCCTTGCGCTTCACATCTGTTCTCCTGGTGATCCTCTGTCAATGGTGGCTTCGCAGAAATGATTTTTTCAATGGGTTGTTGACCCTTAGATCTTGCTGACTGATAACCCCGGTTAGATGAAAACCTTATTTTTTTTCATCCTTTTCCCCCAGAGCCAGCGTCACCTGGCCAGAGCTGTTGTCGCCTGACCACAGCCTCATTTGGCTACCGCGGAAGGCGGCCATCTAGAGAAGCCATGGGAGTGGATTTACAGAAGAGAGAGCGGGCCTCCCCCCGAACCCGTGCTGTGGGCCGGGTGGGCCCTCGGCCAACGGCGCTGACCGCAGCATCCCTTCTTTCCCCGGTCTGAGGACTCTGATCTTACCTCCTGGCTGGGGCCACTCAGCAGCTGCCCGGGGAGGGAGCGGTGGACCGCCGACTGGCACCAGCTAATTCCGACCCATACTGGCCCCTGGTGCCCCCCAAAGCTGGGTAACATCGACCTTGCCCCCCACGCCTGCTGTGGGCTCGCTGGGAGTTCGTAGAGGAGTGCCATTGTCTCCGTGTTTCCAAATAAAAACTTTGAAAACCTCTTTGGGTCATTTCTGAATCAGATGTTTCTGCCTTCAGTGTCCAAGGGGCACTGACCACCCTCATTCTTTAGATCTCTACAGCGATCTCTACAGAGATCTACACCCTCCCCTCGGTCTAGATCTCCGTGGGTGGCGCTGGCCCACAGAACCCCTCCACGCAGGTGAGGAGGAAAGCAAGGATGGCAGTCAGGCTTCTCTTCGCCAAGCTGCGACAGGTGGGCAGGGTGGGCGCGACGGAAGGAGAGGAAGCCTGGTAAGGGCCTCCCCACCTGAGTGGTGGCAAGAGCTGATGAGGCACTTGGGAGGCGGTGGCGCTGAGCGTGCTGGGATGGGCCTTCTCCGGGCCTTGTGGTCACATGGAGAACAAAACCCAATAAAATATTTTGTCCACAGTCCGGTTTCCAGAATGGTTTCATTATTCTGAATCTTCTCTCTCACTAGAACCACATGGGAAGGCCACTGCTCTTTGGCTGTGCTGTGGCATGTGTCCACGATGCCACTCTCCTTTCTGTGCCGACGACGGGCGTCCCTAATCAGTCATAGAGCCTTTTCCTGACGCACTGAATGCCACTTGAGAATCCCCAGCGGAGGGCCCTGGGCAGCCACCACCAGCCAGCAGAACTGGCATAGATTAATTGCCATTCTTAGCTTAAATCCCAGTGGGGAAAATATCCTTAGATTCTTTTCCTTTCCTCTTTGAGAATGTTTCCTTGATTTCTCTGTTCCCTCCTGCTGCAGTACCAAAAAAAAAAAAAAAAAAAAAAATCCGTCATCGGAGGCCTCCCTCGGCTGATGAACTGCAGAATCACCACTTGGTGGCAGCAGAGGTCAACAGAACCATCCAGTGATGTGCGCTGGTAGCTTGTGACTGGGGTCCTCCGTGGTGAGAGTATCTGAGCCCCATGACACTTCTCTTCCTGTTTTCAGGATCTCACCATCTACCTGGTTGTTGTCCTTATACTTCTCTGTGGTGGAATGAACCTCAGACGAGAGAGAATTCCGCCTTGCGTTCCAGTCCAGGCTATCCTCAGCTACCTTTGTGAGCTTGGCAAACTTTGGCCCACTCTGGACCTCAGTTTTCTCATCTGTAAAATGGGGTATTTAACAATGGGTCTCCATTATTTACCTATTAGGGCTTTAGGAAGAATCAGATGCAAACATGGTTTTGTAAACTATACAGTAAAAAAGCAGGAGTATGAGAAGGCAGGGGAGGGGATCACTTATGTGATTTTTCTGGTTTCTTGTTTTGACCTCCTTTCCTCTCTGTGAGTCCGGGTTGTTTGCAACACGGGGTGGCTGCTGTGGTGTTCCTTGGACCTTGTCTCTACAGGTGAAACCCCAAGAACTACAGGTGCCTGGGCCCTAGGCCTTTAGACCTCCAAACGGACATGCGGTGAACACGCTTGGGGTAGGGTGGGTATGGATACTGATGCGGTTCTTCTGATGCCTGGGACGTCTGATGAATCACG